ATGTTATTTATTTTCGAATAAAGTCTTTTATATTTCATTTAAGTTTAAGTAGAAGTTCAAATATATTCTAATCTGTTATCTTAAAAACTTTTTATCTTCACCTTCTTCATGATTATTTCTTTGAGAGAGATTGAATACTGAGAAACATTAGAAAACACAAAAAAACTAAGACACATGTTCTAGGAACAATCAAGTCAATTCTGTAAGTAACCAAAATTATCTTTGTTTTGGAAGAATAGCCATTGTTTACCAAATTTCACGGTAAAAACTAAAACTGCCATCAACTCCCTCAATTCAGACATGGAAGCCTGAATCAATCCCCTAAAACTATCCTCAAAATGCCACAACCAACTATCACCCTCCCAACTACCCATATTGCTCACACTACAGTTTGCATCCTCCACTTACTGATATAAAATTGGGAAAATATACCTAAAAGCTCTATGCCCAATGAAAATAAGAATTTATTCTAATTAATATTTTAATTTGTTAGTCTATTTTAACTTTAGTTAAATTTATTATTTTAAAATATTCAAATAAAACATGCTTTTATGTAGGCTAATAGGCCAATCAGGCTTTCGAAAAGGTCAAGCTTAGACCTAAAAACAAGCCTTTGATAGGTCACAGACCAGACTTAGACTTTGAATTTTTTAGTAGGCCATGCTCAGACTTAGAAAAGCCTAGCTCGACCTAGCTTATTTCCACCCCTAGATTCAGGTGACATCAAACTGCCTTATCATAATAGTAATCACAAGGGGGAGATTTCGTTAGGAGTTCCTCCCACCTTCTCAAATTCTTGGAACCTTAGCATAGATCAGTTAAGGGTTTTCACTGATATACTTCCATCCTTTTTATGGACGACCAACTTCTGGGATATCTTTCTCTTCAAGTCTCCTTGAAGGAGAGGTTTGCTCGGAGCTCTCCTCAAGTGACAATGGTAATATACTATTGTTTACCTTTGTTATCCTCTTTATCCTCGCCACCGGTCCCTGCTTCGGTATCTTTTTAGGGAACTTACCTTTGGGAGACTCATCCCTTTATCTTTTTTCCTCTCTTTATATACTTGGCCAGTCGCCCTTTCTTGATTAATCGTTCAATGGAATCCTTCAACTGGATGCAATAATCGAAATTATTGTCGTGACCTTTATGAAAGCGACAATATTTTGACTTGTCGATCTGGGATGACTCCCTCCTTTTTGGAATTCTCTGTTAGCACAATCATAGTAGGTCTTCTCCCATGACACATTCAGTGGTGTGTAATTTTTGTAGCATATCTACATTCCTTGATCGGACTCATCATTTCATCGATGTGACTCCTAATTAATTTGTTGGCTAAAGTTGGTGTCAACCGAGGCGGGATTATTAAATCGAGTGTTTATATTTTCTTCTAGGATTATGTAATATTGGGCCATGCTCATCATTTCATTGAGTGGTTCACACTCCCTTCCTTCCTAGCTTCAATATGAATGGATGGTCCCGTAGAAGGCCATTCTTAAAGATCCATCTTTTAAGGCCTTCTTCGACTCCCTCTACCTCAACAAAAACTTGTGTAAATTAGTCAATATAAGATTAAAAACTCACATTCTTCCCTTGAATGATCCCGCTCAAAGAAGCTACAGTCACCGGCTTCCTTTTTGGGCGATAAGGTGAGTGGTGAGTCATCACAGAAATCTGTCCAGGACTCAATACTCTCATTTGGAAGACCATTGAACCATAGCTTGGTTGGCCTAAATAGAGTTAGCGCGAATAACTTGCATTTTGAGGCTTCATCATCGCTGAAGTAGTTCAATCAATCATTTATGAGTTGTATTTGCTCGTCATGATCTGCTTTTCCATTATACTCACCCAACTAGGGAGGCTTCTCCATGGATTTTTGTATTTTTTCTGTAAAACATCCTAGAGCACTCAGGATATTTCTGTTGATTCTTCAATGACTAATTTTTTTCTTGATCTAGGGGAAGAATGTGGTTGCCTCGGTCTCCTCCGGGGCTTTGAGGGAGGACTTTGGCATTTCTTGCCCCTTTGTTGATTCTTCGACTTAGGAACTTCATCTTTCTCCATCGTGGTCGACTCAAGAATGTTAGTTTAAGTTCTCCTTCATATCGCCTCTAGAATGGTGATCCCTCGCGGAGACGCATTGTGGAGGCTTTCTTCGAGGCAAAGCAACCTTTCCTATATTTTCTATAAATTCTGTTGTCGGACGATGTTGTACATGCTGTCCAACAACTTGTTAGTGCCTTGCAACCCCCAGGTTGCTCGCAGTAGTTGGAAGTCATGCAAGGCTTCAAGTCGTGAAACTAAAAGGGAATCAGAGGTCCAACCAGAGGCATTTATACAAATCTAACTATTTGAGAAGTCAAGACCAGATCTTGAAGCAATTAAGCCGTTGCTCCTGGATTCGCAATGCCTTGTGGAGGAGGTGGAAGTAGTGTATTGATCGTTGCTTGAGCCACGACAACGACTGCGGCATAACATGTAGCTTTGGATCCAACCATACTTGTAAGCATATTAATTAAAGAACTGAAAATTAAGGAAATCAAAGATGAACCGATGCTTGATTCGATCGAACATAACGAATCTTCATGTTTGATTTTGAGTGCTCTAGGTTAAATGACCTAAGAAGGTTTCGAATTGACGAATTGAAGTGTGAATGTGAAATCGTGAAAAATACAAGAATCATAAGTTGTTTCACACACTCACATTTGATATATATATATATATATATATATATATATATATATATATATATATATATATATATATATATATATATATATATATATATATATATATATATATATATATATATATATATATATATATATATATATATATATATATATATATATATATATATATATATATATATATATATATATATATATATATATATATATATATATAAGGTTAAATAAGTTTTTGGTCTCTTTAAATATGTTAAATTTTGTTTTTAGTCCTTCTAAATTTTTCCTTTAAAGAATAGTCCTCTTAAAAAATTAAATTTTAACTTTTGGTCCCTCCTGACAAAATTGTAGCTAAAATGGTCTCTAATTCCGTCGCTAAAATCGTCGTTAAGTTGTAAAAAACGTCGCTAAATTGCAGGAGAAACCAAAGTTAAAATATAATCTTTTAGGAGGACCATTCTTTGAAGAAAATTTTTAGAGGAACTAAAAACGAAATTTGAAATATTTAGATAGACCAAAAACTTATTAAATATATATATATATATATATATATATATATATATATATATATATATATATATATATATATATATATATATATATATATATATATATATATATATATATATATATATATATATATATATATATATATATATATATATATATATATATATATATATATATATACAATAAAGCCTAAATCCATTAATAATTTTTTTTCAACACTAATATAGTCCAATTCAAAAATCAGTTTTCACATCAAATATTTTTAACTTCCTTTCAATCACAATTTTTATAATTCTCCATACTAAGTCCAACACGAATTACTACATAATCAACTAATGCTTGATAATTCATTGATAAATTTTTAATAATTTGAATTGTATACATATAAAACATATGTAAAGAGATCTATTAATTATTATTCATTAATATTTAATTATAATAATTTCAACATTTTATTGAAAAAAGACATACTTACGATCAAAACCCATTAATTGTATATTGGAGTCTCTATGTTATAATATAAATACAAACATGTTAAAAGAAGATAATAAAAGTAATGCACCGAAGTATAGGTTGGTTTTACACAATCTACTTATAACAAAAAGCCATATCCATAAATAGTTACAGATAAAATTCATCGCAGATATAAATAAGATGTTTTAATGGACATCCACAAGTAAAATAAATATATATTTAATTATCTATTTATTTACAAATATAAATATGATTTTAATGATATAGGTATTCGGAGATATCTATATCTATTAATAATTATAAAATTATTTAAATATTAATTAATTTATTTAAAATAAAAATAATAATAATAATAATAATAATAATAATAATAATAATAATAATAATAATAATAATAATAATAATAATGATAATGATGTTAAATATGAAACTATTATTATTTTGTTGAGTATAATATAGTTATTTGAATAAAGAAAAAAAATAAAATGACTTTGATTTATTTTTGTTATTATTATTATTATGTGTTAAATTTGATTTTTTTTTTTGTTTTTATAAAATGTTTAGTTTATTATATATTTTTTAAAAAGAAATATTTAAGTAAAAATATTTATGATATATGTATATACATGCGTGTATCTCAAAATCTACGGATATCCATTTAACGGATACTCACACGGGTCTGGAGCGAGTACATATATCATATTTATTAAATGAGACGATTAGCGAGAAATTAATACACATGTCTATAAGTATCCATTGCCATAATAGAATTAATAAATTATAACATTCATCTAATTATAAAAATATTTTACACTGTAAGTACATACTCTTTATTTAATTAATAACTTTAATTAATTCAAAAAATTAATAAAAACAAAAAGATCGGACAGATTCAACCTAAACTCTTGGTAGAGATCCGACAAAAAAAAATTTATATACTCTTTTTTCTCTTAAAAGAATTCAAAACAAATCTCTTATAATGTTAACATATTTGGTCTCGCCTCTCTCATTACCATCATTTGTATATTTAATCATTTATTTCATGTATTTCAGTATGGAAATATTTTTTAAAAAGTAAAATAAATAATAAAAAGCTCTTAAGATATATATAAAAGTATTCACAAACTATCAATATCTAATTACTAAACACACCCTTAAATATTTGTGAGCTACACCCCTTTATTATTCATCTTACCAAATAGAGAGAAAGAGAATCTATCTTCTTATCATGATGGTAGGAGGCGAATAGAAAGGTGCCAGGTGTCATGCGTATTGAATAAAACACTAAACTTAATCTTAGCAGAAACAAACTGTGTTTCTTCACCTTCACCCATGGCTTCAACTACACTAGGCACTTCTTCAATTGCGTTTCTTCCTTCACGCTACCTTTCTTCCCCTTCCTCCAACCCTTCCATTCACACACTCTCTCTAACCTCAGGTATATTAGTTGCTTCACAATTTTCATGCTTTTTCTTTTTTCATTTGTTTCTAGAGGTTAAGTAGTAGTTGTGAGAATGAATTAAGAATGACCCGTTTCATATACTAGTATGTTGTTTCTGTGTCTTAAAGTTTTGATTTTTCTTCTTTTTGTGATGATTTGAATCTGCGTTGAATGGTTGGGTTTGTAGGGCAAAGCTGTGGTAGGAAGTTTTGTGGAGGAATTGGAATTAATGGCACAATGGGAAAGTCTCGGTTTCCTGTTGTCAATGTTGCTACTGAAGTTAACTCTGTAGAACAGGTAGGTACCTAGTTAAGGGATAATTCCATTTTAAATGAATAGTTATGAAAACAACTTAACTTTATTTTGTATTTAGTTGTAGAAACTACTTTTATATAAGCACTTATATGATAAGTGTTTATGCTTAAGCTGTTAGTTAAGTTGTTTATCCAAACAATGATGTTCAAATACTTGATATGTGGATAAACTTTTGTTTTTCAAAAGCCTTCTAGTTTAACTTGCTTGCAATGTATATGCTTAGAAAGAGTTTTCTTATAGTGAAGAATCATAATCTTGTTTTATCTGAGAAACACCTTTAAGTTATATTGATTATATGTCAAGTATGAACTTTTGATATCCAGGGTCTGAATACTATTGCTAAAGAAAGCCAGAGGCCAGTGTACCCTTTTGCTGCTATAGTTGGACAGGATGAGATGAAGCTTTGCCTTCTCCTTAACGTGATCGATCCTAAGATCGGAGGTGTAATGATAATGGGGGATAGAGGAACAGGAAAGTCCACAACGGTTAGGTCATTGGTCGATTTACTTCCCGAAATCAAAGTTGTTTTTGGTGATCCATATAACTCAGACCCAGAAGATCCAGAAGTCATGGGAATCGAAGTGCGAGACCGAGTAATAAAAGGGGAGCAACTTTCCATTGTGTTGAGCAAAATTAACATGGTTGATTTGCCATTAGGAGCTACAGAAGATAGGGTTTGTGGAACAATAGATATCGAAAAAGCTCTCACTGAGGGTGTTAAGGCATTTGAGCCTGGACTACTAGCTAAAGCTAATAGAGGAATCTTATATGTGGATGAAGTTAATCTTTTGGATGATCATTTAGTTGATGTGTTGTTGGATTCTGCTGCATCAGGTTGGAACACAGTGGAGAGAGAGGGTATTTCTATCTCACATCCTGCTCGGTTTATCCTAATCGGTTCGGGAAATCCTGAAGAAGGGGAGCTCAGGCCACAACTGCTTGATAGGTTTGGAATGCATGCTCAAGTGGGCACTGTTAGAGATGCTGAACTGAGAGTAAAGATTGTGGAAGAGAGAGCTAGGTTCGACAAGAACCCGAAGGAATTTCGAGAGACTTACAAAGCCGAGCAAGAGAAGCTCACGGAACAAATCACCTCAGCAAGGAGTTTACTTTCTTCAGTTCAAATCGATCAAGATCTGAAGGTGAAAATCTCGAGGGTGTGTGCAGAGTTGAACGTGGATGGATTGAGAGGAGACATTGTATCAAATAGAGCTGCTAAAGCTTTGGCTGCTTTGAAGGGAAGAGACAAAGTGAGTGTAGAGGATATTGCTACTGTCATTCCTAACTGCTTGAGACACCGTCTTCGAAAGGATCCTTTGGAGTCGATAGACTCGGGTTTACTCGTCACCGAGAAATTTTATGAAATATTCAGCTGAAGGTGATAGATAGATAGAATATTCTCTCAGCTCTGGTATTTGTTTAGATTGTAACCTTTCCTATGGCGGATTTTTATCGTCTTTAAACATGAGTAACATTCATAAATTCCTTGTATACAAGATATTCTAAGCCTTTACTTCATGAATGTGTTGCATAATGATTTGAAGTGAGAACTGGAACTAGAGTGTAAAAACCTTGAGGACATCTCCAAGGGGACATCGAATATTGCTTCAACTTCAGCTGCATCTAAAACTGGCGAAAATGCATCCTTGTTGGACAGTATTCCAACCAATGGAACAATTGTGATGCCATAATTAAAATAACTCTGTAAGGGAACTAAGTTGTGATGCAATTCTATAGAAGATCCAATTAAACTAGATCTAGCAGTGAAGTGATGCTAAAAGTAGACAAGATGGACATAAAAAAGAACATCTAAATTTCATCCTGGAAAAGCCTTCAATTTTGAGGATTTGAGATCCTCTCCATTTCTAAATTAATTAATTTAAAATCCATTTACAAGGGACATTGACAGAAAGAGCTTCGCATGGCCGTGTGTGTAAAATGATGAACTATGACATAAGATCTTAAATTTTCAGAGTTAGATTGTTGCTAAATAGAGCTTCATAATAGATTTGTCATGCTTAAACTTGATTAAGTAGAGCTCCTAGTTATTTTGTCACGAATTGAACCATAACTAGCCAACACTAAATCTTCAAAAATTTAAGACAGTCCAGCTCCATATAATTGGCTCATTGGAAGGAATTTAGTGTCTAACTTCAATCAATTGAGAAAGAAGAATTTAAGGTGTTGGAGAATCTGAGGAGCTACATGAAGCAACAATGAACCAATAATAAAGATCACCAATAAATTTGTACACTATATATCTCTATCTAAAACCTTAAAATATTGAAGACTCCGTGTCAATATACTTGCATATTACTAAACTTTCACTGCCATTATCAATTTCTACCTAAATTTTGATACCATGAAATTTTGAGAGAAAATGGACTAATGACCATTACCATCCAACTCACTGCAAGGTCCAACTCCAACTCATTAGAAAGTTTTGAAAACCACGTTACCGATTCTTTGAGTTCATGGAAATCCAATCAAATAAGAGGAAGAAGAAGGATGATGTGTTCTTTATATTATATATACCACCCTAGCATAGAAACAAACAGTCAAACTAAGACCTTAAATAAATGTTGTGTGGGAGGCGACCCCTTATTTAGTAACAAATTTTAATTTCAGTCAAGTTAATTTAATTTCAACCAATTTTAAATTTTAGTATGTTTTTAGTTTTAGTATTTTGGTATTTTTAATGTGTGTTAAATGTAGGGGTGTTCAAAACCAAACTGGTCCAATAGAAAACTGTAAAACCGAACTGAACCAAATCGAAACTGCAAAAAACCGCATTTGGTTCAGATGCGTTTGGGTCATTTTTTCACGGAACCGCGCGGTTCGGTTCGGTTTGCGATTTGTATTTTACAAACCGAACCAAATCAAACAAAACCGCATTATGTTATAAAATCTTACTAACCAATATATATTTCTTTAATTCTTTAGAGAAATCAACATGTATTATGTATATATTTTATCATACTTTGTATTATATTTATTTTAATTTATAAATCATAAAAAAATAAAATATTATTCATTTATAAATACTATTTTCACAAAATATATTTTATCGTATTCTTTGTATAATATTTATTTAAGAATGCAATCTTGTTTATATTATTCTTTAGATTTAGATAAAATTATAATACGTAATTTTATGTATCAAATTATAAATTTATTTTGACAATTATAAATTTTTTTATGGTAATGTATGAATAATTCAACGCAAAATTATATTTTCCTCTATATTCATATGTATGGCTTAATAATTTTTTTTTGTAAAAAATCGAACTAACCGAACTAATCTAAACCGCATTAACTTGGTTTGGTTTGGTTCGGATTTATTTTTAAAATCCAACCGAACCAAACCAAACCACATGTTTTTTTCTCTTGCGGTTCAGGTGATTTTTTGCTTCAAAATCGCCCAAACCGCACCGCGAACACCCCTAACTAAATGTGTAAAACATCTAAAGAGAAGTAAAAACATCAACCGACTTTGTGACCTTTGTCGCCCGGACTATAGTATACAATTCATCAATTTTATTTGCATTTCTTTATATTTTGTTATGTGTCCCATATGTATTTATCAGATGAAGAGGGAGAGCTCCTAAAATCTTTTTGGCATGCTCAAATTTTGTACCGCCTAACCTCTTTGATTAATGAATTGTGTTTGCACTTGTTTCTTTTTCAGTTTAATTACTACTTTACTTGTTAATAGAAAAGCAGTCACAAGAAGTGATCGAGGAAGAAGTAACTTTGTGGAGTGATGGATGATTAAGGAGGAAAATGCAATTCATTGTTGGTACTCAACCTTCAAATACCTAAACAAGTGAGGTTTGATCCAAATATCTCTATTGTTTACTCTTTCTTTTTATGAGTGTTTCCATGCAATTGCAATATTTGAAATTTGCATTTTTTTTTTCAATAAATTGATATGATAAACATACATAAAGATAATTGTTTGTGAAAATTATACATCCTTGTAAATCACTCTTGCATAATAGTTATTATCCCTTGCTAACCCATTCAAACCTTAGCCCTTCATTCAGTAATTTAGCCTGTAACCTGTGAAACGAAAGATAAAATCTTTTCATCCTCCTTAGAATTAGGTAGATTGATTTATTTGAAGCTATGTTTTTCACTAAGTTTAGGGTTACTCTTAGAAGTTAGAAACATTTAAGTTTGGGGTTGGGGGTAATAGATAACTTGCCAAAATAAAAAAAGAAGAAAAAATAAGATGTCAAAATCATGGCATTTTCAAAAAATAAAATGAAAGAAAAAGACAAAAAAAATAGAAAGATCTATAGTACCTAAGTTGAAAGAAAGAGTGATATGATAGGAAAGTAAATAACAGAAGGACAAAGATGTACCTAACTCCAAAATTTAAGAAAATTATCCAAAAAAAACTATCCTACCTTGACATAAGCCACAATACAACTCAAAAATTTCTCAAATGTGTGTGTTTAAATAATCTGACTGATTTTGCAAAAAATTTACAAGTTTATTGATTTTTACTTTTGTGTGTTGATTGAGTGAACACCCTTTCAAATTGAATGCATTATGCGAGTGAGCGATAGGTTGGGTACTGGCGAAGGAAGAACTAATTTGACTTAGTCAAAACAAAGCAGAAACAACCTCTGCGATTAGCAAAAGCAAAGTGACATTCATGTGGTAAGGTTTGTAATTTATATCTGATAAAGTTTCAGTGTGCATACATATTACTTGAGGACAAACAACAATTTAAATTTTGGATTATGATGATGGGATATCAATGCACGTCATTTAGTAAGAAAAGTCGTCGAATTCTGACAAGAATTGAGCAAGATAGAAGCAATTAAGTAAAAAAAACTGAAATAAGTGCTTTTGGTGAAGAAAAGGATTTAGTGTGAAATTGGTAGAAAAGGGATCAAAAACACGCTAAATTTACCGGAATTCACGCGCCCACGCTAGAAGGCTAACGCGCCCACGCTGGAAAGCTGCACGCCCGCGTTGATGAACAGATTCAACAACACGCATGTGTTGGTAAGTGGCGCAGCCGCATTAGAGCACTTTCCTGACACATTTTTTGTGTCTATAAGAGGGAAAGAAAGAGAAGAAAAATGGGTTCGACTTCCAAGATATGGCTATTATTTCTAACCTAATCAAGAAGTCTCATAATCTGAATACTGTTGTTATCTCTCAAAGAAAGATATCTATCTCTTCTCTTAGTTCTTTGGAAAAGAACATCAAGGAAAATAAGTCTTCTACTCACACAAACACAAGTAACCCAAATCTTCATCTATAAAAACCTGATTCTTTTCCTGATCTTGGTTCCCTTGTCAACTTCCATCATAACCTACCCCGCTCATTCTCTCATCTTGATTTTCAATCAGAAACAAGTAAAGTAGATCTTCCATCTATCACATCCTACAACTTGCCTCCAACACCCTTTCACCCTGCTTTTTGTCGAACTTAAAACAGACCACTAACCCCATATGAACTTTTCCAAAAATTTTAACAACTTTCCTTAATATCTTTTGAAAATATCTTGAGAATCTCTTCTTCCAGCATGGATCCATTCAAAACTGAAGCCGCCTAGATTAACTTCAGACAGGTAATGGATGTCAATTCTGACATCATGGAGTCTGTCTGCTACCAAGAGGCTAAAAGGAAATATAAATACCTTATTGAATCCTTATGCTCACCTCCCTTATGTTTTCCTGCTTCATAACCTACAAGATAACTGGTCCTTGGCTTAGAAGATATGCGCCCTTCTAATACCCCTGATATTGTTCTAGTGACAGTTGAAAACCAACCCTCATGCTCGGGTGTAAAGCCTGCTATGGATGTCGAAAAGGAAATTTATGGGATAAAGGAAACCTTTGGGAAGATACAAGAATCTAATAGGATTGTTCAAGAGTGTCTGGAACAATAGGAGGAATCTAGTCTAGATCAAACAACTTCCTTCAATCAGATGGCTGATATGTTGAAGAAGTTTATGGAAAAGTTTAACAAGGAGTATTAGGATTAGACCTTTGTCTTAGAACTTAAGATTTGTTTTCTTCTGTGTCTAAAACAATTGTATCTTTTAAACCCTTGTGTTTTTAATGAAGTCTTTAACTGGTTGTTGGTTATCTTCAAAGTTCATTTCTTTGTCTCTTTATTACCTTTTTGATTTCTGACAAAGGGGGAGAAATTAAAATGATTTCGATAATATTTATTCTCATAATCTTTAACTCAAACATATATAATATTGTTGCTACTAACTGTTTGTTTAATGTTTCATTCCAAGAACTTTGAACAAGTTCAATGAGTATTCTAAGACTGGTTAAACATGAAGATCCAGAAGATCCTGATGCTAAGGTTGAGAACCTTATGGATGAAATCAACTATGATTTCA